ACGACCATTTAAAGTCTTTCATCTCTTCCCTGGTAAGGGATGAGTCCCTCTCCCATCTCCTTAGAATATCATCCATCACCGAGGTTTGGGTTGTGGTCCGCATCATTCTATATCCGTTTTTCACTGTATACTGCCACGGATGCATGATAGATGATGTTCCCCTCTGCCACTTCCACTCCTTCGGGTCGAATGGGAGATGAGACAGGGGTATTGTGGGTTCGTACATATATTTCACCTCATATTTTTCTTCTATCACACAACTTCTGATCAAATCTTTCACCGGGGTCTGACAATCTAGGCTGTCCTTCCTGCGAATAATCGACCATCTTGCTCCTAGAAGGGCAGAACCGTAGGCTTGTAGTTGCTTGGCTGATGAGGGTTGAGAACTCTCCACTCTAAAGATTGTCATCGATCGGTGTAGCGAGTCTGCCCTTACCACCCAGCCCCCTTTCTCTATAGTGGGACCTCGTCTGAGGGCTATAATCCATGCCAAAGGGATCGCTTCCTGGACCTCAGCCAGATCTTGTTCTAGGTTCAGGGTGCGGCCGATTTTGGCTCTGATTGTTTGCTGTGAATGCCAGGCTGTAGAAGCATCATCCCATAGGTCCTATACTGAATAGATCCCCTTCTTAGCCCACCGGAGCCTTTTCGATTTCCGGTTGAGGGAGAAGGGTGTTCCAGTTTGATTTTTGATTTGGGGGTGGATGAATAGCGGTTGACGCACGATGTCATGCCATCTAAGTTGGACCTGAGTTCGTTTCGGGCCATGATTCCTCCACAAGCGTATCATGGCACCATAGGGGGTCTATTCGCAGATCCCATTTGGCCCGGCCCTCTGGGGAGCGATCCGAATCCGCCCGGGGGCAGGCCGGGATCGTCCACGTCGGGTTAGTTAACCATTGGAATGGGTGCACCGGGTTATTGAACGGGGATGGTGGAACCAGGCAGGTTATTTGGATCTGTGCATACCATATCTATGGTATATCGTTGCCCATCAACATTCTAATTATGAATTTGAAGGTGAGAGCCTTGATTTCCTTTCCCGGGTCAATAATCCCTAGGCCGCCTTTAGCTCTTGGTTGGGTAAGGATGTCCCATGCCACTCGCTTGATGCAGCAATTGTCGGGAGGGGGGAGGCTAGAACGGAAGGAGGACGAAGTAGGGGGGAGTGGCCGCGCTAGGAATAGAGAAGCAGGATAAGGGTTTGAAGGACCAAGTGTGCTCATCTCTCCTCCAGTTGTGCCATGTGATTTGTGAGTTATTCACCTCAGCGATTGCTTCTCGTCGGTCCCAGCCAGTCGTCAGCAAAGCGAGGGGGGGAGGGGGGAGTGGGGGAGGCTAGGGCGGAAGGAGGACGAAGTAGGGGGGAGTGGCCGAGCTAGGAATAGAGAAGCATGATAAGGGTTTGAAGGACCAAGTGTGCTCATCTCTCCTCTAGTTTTGCCATGTGATTTGTGAGTTGTCCACCTCACTGATTGCTCTCGTCGGTCCCAGCCAGTCGTCAGCAAAGCGAGGGGGGGAGGGGGGAAGGCTAGGGCGGAAGGAGGACGAAGTAGGGGGGAGTGGCCGCGCTAGGAATAGAGAATCAGGATAAGGGTTTGAAGGACCAAGTGTGCTCATCTCTCCTCCAGTTGTGCCATGTGATTTGTGAGTTGTCCACCTCAGCGATTGCTCTCGTCGGTCTCAGCCAGTCGTCAGCAAAGCGAGATCTTGCTTCCTCTATCTTCTGTTGTTTGACCTCTGGGATGAATTTGGGCGCTGCTGTAGTGACCCGTACATTTCCTAAATTTGAAGCTTGTTACCGGGCACAACTTTAGGAAAAACTGGTGGTTTAAGATTATTTTCCGATAACAGTTTTTTTCCTATTTCTTCTTTTTCTTCTTTTTTCTTTTTCTTTTTCTTCTTCTTCTTCTTCCTCTTTTCTTCTTCTTCTTCTCTTTCTTCTTCTTCTCTTTCTTCTTCTTTTTTTCCTTCTTCTTCAGTAACCAAAGCAGCGCAAGAAGCCCAAGGGCCTCGTTAGACCCTCCTTGGAAAATCCTCGGGAATTAGGAGGAAGTCCTTGGAAAATTTAATGGTTTTCAACATAGTCGTTACACCGCGTCCTAATTCAATGGGTCCCAAGGAAAACCCTTGGGGGTCTCCCGCGGCCAGTTTCATATGCGTATACGCGACCGCGGGGTTGAATGTTTGTCATTGTCGTGGGATGTTCGTGTGTCCTCGGGCGTGGTCCACTAGCGGCAGCAGGGAGGCCTACCAGGGCTGGAAAAAGAAAAAAAAAAAACAGCGCAAACATCCCGGTTCAAATTTCAAATTTTGAAACCAAAAAGAAAAAGAAAAGAAAATCAAATTTCAAATTTTGAAACCTTCGTTGTGACGCATCCGTGCCAGAGGCGTTCAGGCGAATGGAGTGCACATTGGAGCGAAACGCCTGTGCGGAGGAGTACTAGTGGTCATGGCTTAATAGGCGGGCATTGGAACATAGGCCGACGTAGCGGCAACGATAACGTTTGTCCCATCCAACGTTGCTAACGGGTTCCACATTCGTCTTCGGGGCGTCTTGTTCACCCCCACATCTAGCATAAACTAAGCGACCTCGTAATTAGTCTCATTGACCATAATCCAGGAGATTCATATGTCTGCTATTCAAATATCTATAGGAAGGGGATGGAGACCCTGTCTATCAAAAATAAAGGTTTTAAACTGATCGCAAGAGAAGAGTGGCAGGTAATCAACGACATCCATGAGAAATTTCAGATGGTTGGTCTTCATAAATCAGTCTCGTTCAATCGACAAGGGAAAGTGGGTATACCCTATGGGATCCCGAACAACAAGAATATCGCCTAGTGGCGACCGATTTGCCCATCCTTCTCAGATCCATTAATACGTTTAAGTATAACAGTATCCAAGTCTGTCAATTAATTCCTATGGAAGCTACCTGAAGCATCCCACTTCAATCTGAGATGCCCGGGTGACATAATCGGACGACCCGGTCTTTTTAATAGCAATATCGAAAAAGGAGAAGAAGTGATTGCGTCAAGTTTTGACGTAAAATAAATGTTAATTGCACTGCCGCATGCATCTATTATTAAAGCGGTAGAGTGGTTGGTTTGTGTTTTTGAAGAAAAAAAATTCTCCAATGTGTTTGTGAAAATGAGAGGAAAATGCGGCATGTTGGGCAAGCGTAAAGAGGCTCTTGCAGGTTTTCGTCGCATCAATTTTTCACTACTCTTGAAGATGGTAGCCTTTGATCTTGACAACACATATTTGCTGGCTATAAAATCTCTTCTATAACAAAAAGTGGGAATACCTATGGGAAAACCATTGAGCCCTACCTTGGCTTGTTTGCTGTATGCGTTCAACGAGCACGAATTTCTCCTACATTTAGGTAGGGAGCGTTGACTGCTCTTTGGGATGAGATTAGTGGATGACGTGTCTGTCGTCTCGAAATACCAGAAGGGATCGAGATATACAAAGTGTCTGGCAGAAAGAAAATTAGATATGTTCAAGGATTGCTACGATAAGAACTTAGTGCTAGAACTGACTAGTGCGCATGATACGTGGGATTTTCTAGGTTGTGTCATCAAGGTGTTTGGACAACCTTGTAGGGTACTATGTGTTGCAACCCACAAAAATGAGTGGTATGTGATGAATCAAGGAGTGATGTTCCAAAATTTGCAAGATTTTTTTTCCTACACGAATAAACAGCACAATATGTTTGTAACTGCCTGTTTGTACAGAGCGAGAACGTCGACAAAATGTCAGGAGATGATGCTTGTTTCCTGTTGACGTTGAAGTTTGAACTACAAATCAGTGCCTGAAGAATTTTTCGACTCGAATGAATAACTGTTGGAGATCATGGACCCTGTGTTTTACTAATTGGAAATGGTAACTCGGGTTGTGATAAGGGCAATTATGTTTTGAAATTTTAGTTATTATTCCTTATATTTTGTTCCTACTCTTGATTTCTTAGCTTTGTAGACTTAAACCTGATAACTTGTGTTTAATGATGAGCAATCAGTTTGGGACTCGCAGATCTACATGATAGGATTTGAACTGGTGACCTTTGACTTTTGATTTGTTTTGGGTAAACGTTTTTTTTAGGGCTCGACGGAGATCGGGCTTTGTTGTTGTTGGACTAGTCTAGTACATACCCAAGGAGTTAGGCCAGTTTTATTCGACTTGTTCACGATTCTTCTAAACTATAGGACCTTGTAGCGGCCTTTTGGTAACAAATGTAGGTATAAGTACTCTATAGTTCCAGTTGTTTTCCATCATGCGCTACGTATCACGACCCCTGATGACGCCGGACAGGCGACCGACAGAAACACGGTGTTGGGTCTTTTCGCCTGACATCGTTGTGCTTCATGTTTTATCCTTTGGAATTATCTGCGCTCGGTTCTTTATCCATCTGCTTCCTAAGTGGTGTGCTTCTATGCATGTTGCTTTTCTATGTGTTTGTGCTTTTATGTTTGAATGTTATGATTGATGTTTGCTACATTAGTCCACGCACGAACCAACGTAGCAATAGTACTACGGATGTGCGACTGCGACCTACCACCACCACCACTACCACTATCACCACTATCACCACTATCGCCACCCCTATCTATTAGTGTTAATTGTTAGTATTGTTAATTCTCCTATTCTATATTATTCATTTTTCACCTTCTATACGTGTGTATCTTAATGGAGCGGTCTATGTCTCATTACTGTCGACGGCCTGGACATTTCATTTGGGACTGCCGAACTCATATGAGGTACATGGACCAGCAAGTCAGGCAAGCGAATGGTAATCAACCCTCAACTTCAAGTTCTGCTCCAATTCTTCCGGCTCCAAGAGCGATCGTCCCTTACCAACCCCCTTCTAACGACATGCATAACAACCAAGCGACTGGGAGCAGCAATGGTGGTTATAAAGGAGGATACCGGGGTGGGTACGGCGGTTACAATAACTACCGGCGGACTTGGTACTCGGAGCAAAGTGATAAGAACGATAAAATCGAGAGGATGTGGAGCTGGATGTTGGGAGAAATGCAGAAGAGGGAACAGATTAAAAAGGAAAAAGAGATAGCCACCAGAAAGGAAGAAGAGGAGAAGAGGAGAAGAGGAGGAAGGAATAAGAAGAGATGCGGGTAACTGAGGCTAAAGACAAAGAAGAATTTAAGGCAAGCATTGGGAAGATGGTAGAAAGTCAGGTGAGAAGTGTGTGTGAAGAAGTGCTGGGGAGAAAAATAGGGGAAGGTGAACGACCTTTAGCTGCGACGACTGCTGAAATTCGACGTCGAACGTATGTAGAGGCGCAAATGAACCATGAAGGTGAAGACCTCCGAAAGAAGGAGGACGAGATTGTGAGATTGAAGCAGACGATGGCAGAGATGCAAAAACAAGCTTGCCGACCACATCAATCAGAACAGGAGTTAACGTCGCTAAGGATGGATAACCAGTATCTGATTCAGAATGTCATAAGGTCGAAGGAGCAGGTGAATGAGCTTATCAAGACCACAAGGGCAACGGTTGGAGTGGCAACTACATCAAGCCCATTGCCAGCATCAGCAAGAGAGAAAGAGAAAACGACCAATGAGCCTACTCCTGGAGACATAAAGTTGATTGATGCATACAAAAAACTCCGAGACGACAAAGATATGGCCGAAAGAGAAGTCCAAGCGCTGAAAGAAAGGATTAATAGAATTGGGTTTGCGACGGCTACTCCGACAAGCATGAAGAGAAAGAGAATTCTACGGAAAAGTGTGTCGCCACCCTCCAATCTACGAATCCGGCTGAGCAAAGCGGCGAGTCCAGTAAAGAGTGGGGAGACTAGTGGGAGTGGGCAACTGAATGTGAAGTTTGTTAAACTGAAGAATGAATGGCGAGACAAATTCAAGAAAAGAGTGTGCATCGAGTTGTCTAAGTTAAAAAAAAAGGAGATTGAGCAGTTATGTGGAGGGGAAGGGTTAGAGTACGTAACGATTCAAGCTTCGGCAGCTGCTATTGCCGACATCTATACGGATCGAGCTTTTGGGAAGAGGAACGTTCCACCATCTGTCGGCAATACCGAGACACCTGAGGATTCGGAAGAATCGAAAGACTTGGTGGGGGGGAGCGAACAAGAGGATGATGACGACGATGGTGTTCCGATTGGTTGTTAAGATTGGTCACCGAGCATTGGTGAACTTGGTGAGCTAGCTCTGGCCTGTAGAGACGCACGCGACAGTCGACGCCTACAACGAGACGGTAAGATTGATGGAGTGTTTAGCTTAGTAATTTTTTTTCTGGTATTCCTTCGACAACTGCCGTGGTGTGTTAAACTAATTCCACATCTTCGTTATTTATTCTCTACTAATTACGACTTCATCTCCTGTCTCTGTCCTTTGGTTTACATTTTGGTTAGGCAATACATCAGTTTCATATTTACACAATACACCTCACACTGTCACAGCACTGCACAAGACATCATGGGTTTTGGGAGGAAGGGGACAGGGGGTGGTGGAGCCACCCCACATCAGCTCCACAGTTACACAATACACATCCAACTGTCACAGCAGTCCACAAGACTGCACACCGGGCAATAGGAATAAGGACAGTCACTAGGGTTTAAGGGTTTATCTTAACTGATACTGCTACAATCACGTCCATTCATACAAGCAACCACAATGTTGAGGGACGCTGGACCCGCTTTCCAGCAGGTGCTGCTCCCCACCAATAGATGGAGCCTTCCCGATAGTGCTAGTGGTGCCTGCTTGTACCAGCATCCCTATCACCTGTTCGGGTTGTTAAAAAAAAGAAAAGAAAAAAAGATGGTAGGGCGAAAACGAAATTCAAGAGCACTCGTGAACGAGTTCTGGGGGGCCTTCTCTGACAGCTCTCGGACACGTTTTCGACAGCCTACTTTGGAAGCATGTATAGCGACTCGTATACTCCCAAAAAGATAGAACTTGGGAGTGGTGTGGCGAGAGCCCCTTACTCTCCACCGATGGACTCTCCACAGGTCGAGAGCACAAAAAGACATGATCTTGATGTCCCATTTTTCCACCCCGACTCGAGGTCTGCTCTCCAAATCCGGGTGCTCATCATAGATCTATGAGGACTCACCAAGTAACGACCTTTGCAGGCGGTGAACTCTCCAACCATGGAGAGTGGTTTTCAAGAGTGCACTCTAACAGCTATCCAAGAGAATTTTAGCGCCAAATTTGGAGAGTTAGTGGAGGGACGCAAAACTCGACAAATCTTGAGAGTGGAGGGTCTGTCTCTTATACACATCTAGATGTGTATAAGAGACAGCCCTTGGGCACAAGGAATCCGCGTTTCACGGAGAGGAGAGGGCACATGGGTAGATAGACGTTACAGCTGAGAATCTGGATCGTGGCGGCACTCTATTGGCTGAAGTCCTGAAGCACAACTGTTTTTTATNTTTTTTTGACAATTGTGTTTGTTTGTTTTTTATTGACAATTGTGAAAATTTGGGATGATTGAGGATCATTTTGGATGATTAAGGATGTCAGAGTGGGTGATGGAGGTCATGACATAGAGCTAGAGAGTGGTTTTCAAGAGTGCACTCTAACAGCTATCCAAGAGAATTTTGGCGCCAAATTTGGAAAGTTAATGGAGCGGCGCTGAACTGTCTTAATCCTGCGTGCGATCCGTATGGCACCGCGTACTAAACGTACAGCCATACGAATCTGTACGGTACGGGTGCCGTACAGATTTTTTATTTCATTTTTGGGGAACCTACACAGGAGTCATAAAAATGAGTTATAATTGCACTACGGGCCAAGATACAGTTTCAAATTGCAGTTCAGGCAATGTATACAACCCAGTTTTCTGGCCAGGTAGGGTGCCCGAAGTGCAATTGCAAACTGTCTCTTGCCCCATGGTGCAATTATAACTATTTTTGTGACTCTTCTGAAGTTACCCCAATTTGTTTTGGTGTCTATGGGTTATAGCCCCTGGACAATTAAACCACTAGTACCTTTGTCGTCCAGTTTCCACAAGTTTTAGCCTACTCTTGGAAATATCAGCCATGGGCACTGGGCCCGCGTTAAAAAAAAAAAAAAAAAAAAAAAATTAGCCTACTCCCAGACTCTTTGGACGCAGGGCCCGACAACGGCTGCCGTTGATAAATCTGATCAGTGGCCATCGTTTCGTTTCGGCATCCTGAAAGATCAGAGGCCCACTATTTTCCGAATGGACAAAGGTACTAGTGATGTAAAGAAAAAGAGAAGCACAAAAAATGTGTGGGTGCGTGTGTGTCAGTGTGTGTCAGTGTGTCAGTGTGTGTCAGTGTGTGTCAGTGTGTGTGTTCCTTCCCACCACACACACACACACACAAACAAACACAGGCATATTGCCGTTGCAGTGAATTTTATTTTATTTTTCATTACCCTTTTTCTGTTTCTACTTTTCTTTCTCGTATTTTAACAAGAAATTTGGGGTTGGTGCTCAGACAAATATTCCTTGTCTGCCACATAACCTTTTCGTTTTGAGAAAACTAGGGCGTGGTCAGGGTTAGAGTTTGAAAATACATTTGAAACTGCCGTTTTGGAGTCCAGTCCCCTCTGAAGTTTAGGGTCTCGCTACACTACTCTCCACTCTCCGCAAATTCGAAGAGTTGCCGGAGAGTTGCTGAGCTCTCCAAATTCGCGGTTTGGTGCTCAACGCTGCACTTACTATCCGTGGTCCCACACTCCAATTCGTGCGAACACTAGCAGACGAGGTGACAGCACTGGACTATTTGGCTTCATCTGCATTTTGTCGGCCCCGACTCCAGGCACACTCTCTGAATTCGGAGCATCTAGGTGAGTCGCGCTGAGGTCCATCTGAAAAACGGAGGTTGCAGGCTGGGCACTCTCCGACCGTGGAGAGTGCACTTGGATGGTGGTTTCTGTCAGCTATCCGAGTTCGTTTCAAGGGGTTTTCCGGATAGTTAGTGCAGCGGTGAAAAACTCTCCAATTTCGGAGAGTGGAAAGTAGTGCAGCGAGACCCTTACACTGCAGGCCAAACTCCGCCGTCGTGTGCCTGTCGCGGGGCAGACTTTGTAACTGCAGTCTAGTCATCCACGTCGGAGGGCCAGGCCATTTTCCAAAAAAGAAAAAAGAAACAAGAAGGGAAAAAAAAGAATCGTGGCGCAGTATCTTTCCATGTTCTACAGAAAGATTCACTCTCGGTTTCCACGATTGATCTTCTGTGCCACGGGAATACAGGGGCCCAGCGGGATACACGGGCTGACAACAATCCAGTTTCTTTTCTTTTTTGTTTTCTCTTTTTTTTCCCTTGTGTCATCCTTGGGCCCTCGTGGCGGTGCATCTTTCCTTGTTCTACCAAGATTCACTCTCGTTTTGCCTAGCTCCACTACTCTCCAAATGTGCAAAACGCGAGCGACTCTTCCTCTAGAACATGGAAAGATACAGCGCATGCTTTGTGACTTTTGTGCAGAGTGGAGAAAGGCACTCTGTTCTTTTTTTTTTTTTTTTTTTTTCTTGAAATAATATTAAATCTAGGCCCCGTCGCGCAGCTGGCCACGGCCGCGATGCCTTGGCCACATCCGAGGTAAAAAAAAAAAAAAGAAAAAAAAAAAAGAGAGAGAGCGCATCTCCTCGCATGGCTGGGCCACCACAGCCATGCCTCCGCCAGGCCACATCCCGGACTGGACTGCAGTTGCAAACTCGGCCTTGCATAAAATGCGGACTGGACTGCAGTTGCAAACTCGGCCTTGCGACTTTTATGCGTCTGAAGACTCTGAAGTGTTTGGACTGCAGTTGAAACTTGGGACGGTACTGGACTCCAAAAAAAAAAAAAAAAAAAAAAAAAAAGAAGAAGGCAGTTCGAACTTCGAAATGCATTTACAAACTGCTTTCGTGACTGCGCCCTAGTTACCCCAATTCATTTTTCAGATTCTTTCATCAACCCCCTGCGCCCCCCCACCCCCTGCTTACGTTGTACATACAGAACGTATGTGGCCTCGTATGTAAATATGAGTACGTTATGTGCGGAAAGGCCCCGTAGATGTAGGCCCGACCAAAGAGTCTAAATCTGGAGAGTGGAGAGTATGATCCCAATTCATGGGTGAGGCAAAATGGGCTCAGCCTGGGTCCCTTTCTCATGCTTGGTCGCTTTGTGGGCTCCCAAAGTGAGCACCACTCCTGATGATGAATCTGATCTATAATTGTGGGTGTGTCCATTTGCGGAGGTGATACGAGCATCCCTCTAATTTAAAGTGGATGTTTCCACTTCAACCACTTGTGGAGGTGATGTGTCCATTTGTGAGGGTGACAGGTA